AACAGAACGATACCCCCCCGATGACTCTTGTGGAAAACCCTTCACAAGCGAGAAGTGTGAAGAAAAAGCGTGCACACACACAAACACAAAACCTACTGTTCCAAATTGTCAGGGTCAATGCATGACTGCTCTTGGTGGGTATATGCTTGGACAGAGGTGGGAGGGCTTGGACCGCTTTAGCTTTAGCCCTTTGCTACAGCATTGTCATGTCACATGGTGTTCCGACTTGCACCAGGCATGAAAACGATAACAAAACGATAACAAAAGCGATAATTTCCGTAGGCAGGCCACCACAAGGATGTAGTTGGAATGAACTGTGCCTAATGTCTTCATGTTTGCAAGGTTCCACACATGCATGCAGTGCACACACATGTATACTACACTATACTCCAATTTTGCAGTTAGTCAAAGTGCTGTAAAGCGATACGGAAGAAAAACACGATAACGTCAAAAGGAAAAGATACAGGGTTTTTTACACAACCTCAAGTGGTTTGACCATCAATGCATATCCATGCATATGCACTAAAGGGCTCTCTTGCCATCCCTTACCACATATGGCGCATACAGTATGGATTTCGAGTTCTGTTGAATCCATCCCAAAACACTCCTTCTGGTGACATCGGCTATGTCCTTGGGACGCGAGCCCGTGAGCCCGCGCGGCCAGCATGGACTCTGCACCAACGGCCCATCAGGGCCAAAGAACATGAGCAGGTCTTTCTTTTCTATTCTTTGAGGGTTCCATGGAAAGGTGTATCCATCCCCCCTTCGCCAGTCATGAGATCTTCCCATATTTTGCAATAGGCTCCTCCGACACATTCCCAGGAGACCTTGTTGGAAGGAGGCCGGGAACTCCCAAATACCGCTGGAGACACGTGTGGCGGTGAACTGTTCTTTGTCAGAGGAATCCCATTTTCTGGCAAACGTGTTGGAGGTTGTGAGGGACGACCCGGAAGAGGATTCGACATTGGTCGGAGATATAGATGTGGAAAACACACGTTTTTCTGCCTCATGCGAAAGGACCTTGTGCTTGGAAACGTCCATGTGTGAAACGGCTTCAATGGAAGTCCGGATCGTAATCCCAGTTTTGCCCCCAAAGAAATTGTGGTGAATCCCTTAATTTGTCTCCACCAAAGAGAGGAATACTTAGTACTGTTCTGAATTTGGGATTGTATGAACTTGCCATGCTGCGAGATAACAGTGAGTTTGAGATTGGTTAATAAAGGATGGGGCCTATTTTAAGGAAATTATTTGAGGGTGGGGTCACCACCTAAAATAATTTGCCAGGAATAATATTTCAAAAAAATTATTTGGCACAGGTGGGTATAGGGTGGGTACTGAGTAAACATCTCTTCTGAGAGTCAAAATTATTTAGGAATAGTTTTTTTTGAAAGGAGAGTTTAATTTCCAGTCAATGAAAGCATCAGCAGATGTTGCAACGCTGGAAAATCACCGGTTGTACCAGCTGGATTAGATTCCAGGGCTAGAGCCTGCGGGCTTTAGCCAGCTAGGAGTTTTATTTATGTTCCAGCAGGGTTGGAACAATGAAGTTTATCCAGGTGATGTTCGGGAAAGAAAAAACAACAATACTTTTAAAAACAATACCCTGTCTCCACCATCTGGGTTCTTGTTAAAGGATTTTGTCTAAATCCTGGTCAGACCAGAAAAAGTAAGGAAAGAACTAAGGAGACTCAGGAATTAGCATCTTCGTCCTGCTGGCGTTCATGGGCCTTAGCTTGGGCACGC